AACTGCCGGGGCCGGAACCTCATCATCAAAGTCAACCTGAGGCTCCGCCGCTGGTGTCGCTGCTTTGGGATGAGCTCTGCCCCTACCTCGGCCTCTATCACGGCCTCGGCCTCGCCCTTTGCCCCACGTGGGAGCTGCTACTGGGGGCTCAGGCTACTGATCAGTGGATGAGGAAGCGCGTGTTCTCGCCATTTGCGAAAGAATAGAGTAGAAATTCAATTAGCATTCAGAAACCAAACTGCACGATAGGAAAGTATGAAGTTTTTCCGAACTTTGTAGCCTCTGGGGAATAAATACAGACGTCATTGTACCGATCTCTCAGAATCTACTAAGCTTGTCTATGAACTGTGAGACCTACAACTTAGAGCTCTGATACCAACTTGTCACAACCCGGATTTCCCACCCTCGGGAGTCGTGATGGCGCCTACTAATGTGAGCTAGGCAAGCCAATTATTTGAATAAATTACTTCATTATCCATTATATATTCTTTAACAATTTTAAAACAATAACATATAAACTACAAAAATTAAAATAAGCAGAAGAAATGTAGTAAATTAGTTGAATCTATGTCTAATACAACTATTTGAACCTCGACCACCCAGAACTGGTGTCATAGTACCATAGACAATCTAAAAATACTACATACAAGGTCTAAAAATAAATGATACACTGTTTCCGCATTAAGGAATTGAAACAGGAATAAAAGGGATAGAGGGAGACGCCAGTGCCTCCGGATGCCTGCAGGTCTACCGTGGATCTCCGCGTGGACTGAAGGCAGCCACCCAATCTACGGTCCAAAAGCTGCTCCGGGTTCTGCACATAGTGTAGAGTGTAGTATCAGCACAACCGACCACATGTGCTGGTAAATGCCTAGCCTAACCTCGGCGAAGTACTGACGAGGTTAGGACCAGACTACCAGATAAACCTGTGCAATTCAACTATATATAGCGGAAAAGAATAACATAAATAAACAGTCAAGTATGGGAGGGGGAAACATGCTGCGGGGGGAACATCAATTAAGAATAGCAAGATAGTGAGTAAATAAGAGGAACACCAAATCTCAGCTAACAACAAGAATCAGAAATCAACAAGTGCACGACATCACCTTTCGTGCTTTTACTCTCGTCCTTACCAAAGCAATCAAGTAATGAAAATGTGGACGACATCACCCTTCGTGCTTTTACTCTCGTCCTCAGCATATAATTAATATAATCGGCAGGGAATTGTACATCGTGTAGCACGACATTACCCTTCCTGCTTTACACTCTTTCCTCACAAATCGTACACGGCATCACCCTTCGTGCTTTAACACTCTCTCACCAAAACAATACACGGCATCACCCTTCGTGCTTTAACACTATTCCTCACCCAAACAACAATTACAAATAATAGGGCAAGGGAATAAATGAAATTACAATAAGAATCCCGGTAAGGGAACAATAGATCAACAATCAAGTCTCGGCAAGGGAATAACATCAAAAGAAGCATCAACGTCCCGGCTAAGGACATAACATCAAAGAGACAACAAATTCCCGGCAAGGGAGATAATATAATAATTCTCTTCTCTTTTTTCACTTTTACTTCACAACCCACTTCACAACTTTGAGCCAATACTCTAAAAGGTTCAATTTCCACTTATACTTTCACATTTCATTGTACAACTTGAGCCAACGCTCCTCAATATTCTAATGTCACAATTACTTCCACAAACTTTGCCCAACAATAAAAATCATCATCAAAGAATGAATAATACAACGAAGCCATAATAATCACAATATAAGACTCAGGGGCATGCTTGACACCAACGTATAGATACTCGTCACCATGCCTATATGTCGTACTCGACAAATACCACATAGCAAATAGGACTCGACTCCTAATCCCTCAAGTTAAGGTTAGACCAAACACTTATCTTGAACTTCCAAGGCCAATGCAAGCCTCAAACACCGCTTTTCCTTTAGAATTTGGCTCCAAATCAATTGTATCTAGACATAATCGACTTAATAACATCAATAAATGCTAAACAATTCAATTCCAATACTTAATTATAGATTCCCTGTCATTCTTCCCAAAAAGTCAAAAATCGACCCCGAGCCCGCTTGGTCAAAACACGAGGTGCAGACCAAAACCTGATCACCCATTCACCCATGAGCCCGAATTTGTAATTAGTTCCAAAATCCGATCCCAAAACGAGGTCTAAATCCCAATTATATAAAAAGCCATAACTCTACCAAAATCCCTAATTTTCTACCCTTAAAACCATGATTTAGGCCTAGAAATCTAATGGGTGTTAATGAAAATTGAAGAAAATGAGTCTAAGATTACATACCTATGAATTTGGGGTGAAGTTCTCTTTCAAAAATCGCCCAATTTGGAGTTTGGAAGAAGAAGTTATGAAATTTTGGTTTAATCCCGTATGTGTTCTATTCTGTTTAAATGACTGGGCAAAATTGGTCTATGCAATCGCGGACAAGGATTTGCGATCGCATAGGGTAAGGGGGAACTGGGCATTGCGATCGCGAAAATGGGTTTAACCCATTGCGATAGAGGAAAATGGGTTCCCTTCTCAGGCTTGGTTTAACCCATTGCGATAGCGGAAGAAACAATGCAATCATATAGAACAAAAATGGACCTCCCAAAATTTACTCTACGCGATCGCGGAAGGACCTATGCGATCGCATAGTACAAAAAATGGACCCCCTGAAATTACACTATGCGATCACGAACTTTCTTATGCGATCGCATAGAACAAAGTCCTGGACACCAGCAGACAGCAGATTCTGCAATTTTTTTCTAAGTTTAAAACCTCCCGAGACCTATCCGAAACTCACCCGAGCCCTAGGGGCTTCAAACCAAATATGTACACTACCTCAAAACATCCTACGGACTTACTCGTGTATTCAAATCACCAAAATAACATCAACAACTATGAATTTTGCATCAAAATCATGAAATCACATAAGAACTTCAAATTTTTTATTTTTCTCAAATACGGTCCGATTCACGTCATTTCAAATACATTTATAACCAAATTTCACAAACTCATCTTAAATCACATATAAGACCTGTACCAGGCATCAGAACCAAAATACGGGCCCGATACCATCAAGTTTTAAAGACATTTCATTTCCAAAACTCACAAATAATTTCAGAAAATAAATTTATTTAAAACTTCATTTCTCGGGCTTGGGACCTCGGAATTCGATTCCGGGCACACGTCCAAGTCCCATATTTTCCTATGGACCCTCCAGGACCGTCAAATCATGGGTTCGGGACCGTTTACCCAAAATGTTGACCGAAGTCAACTTAAATTCATTTTAAAGTCAAAATTTATCATTTTTCACAGATTTTCACAAAATGGCTTTCCAGCTGCGCGTCCGGACTGTGCACACAAATCGAGGTAATGCCGAAAGAGGTTTATAAGGCCTCAGAATACAGAATTTACTTTACCCTTTTCATGGATTAGAGAATTTAATAAAAGATTCAAAAGAATCATGGAAATATAGAAAAATCCAACTGAGAAATCTAGAAAGAGTTTAAGCTAATGAATTTTCTTGGAAATAACTTATTCGCAAAAGAAGTTAAGAAAATATAATGAAATTAAGACCTTTCAGACAACAGAATGAGAAAAGAAATAGGAAAATGATGGAGTTTGAAGGAAGCTGATGGGAATCAGTATACCAAATGACAATGGTAGCAGATGTATCAGTGAATCGTGGTTGGATTAATTATATGAAATGACGAGTGGAAAGAATGTAATGGTGGTGAAGACTGTTTGGGTGTAGAGTGTTGAGAGTAAGCTTGGGCTGCTCTGTATCCTCCTAAACGAATCATGGAATTCAGTCTAATTCCCTGCTACATCTTTCCATGATTTTCTGAGTGAAGCCTTAATATCATATATTTTACTTTTCTACCTAGCCATGTTCCTCTCTACGGCTGGTACATCGAAATTGATTGACCGTAGAGAATTTGGGCACTCAGGATGGGGCTGAATGATTGCTGCCACTCTGAGAAATATGCTGTCAGATGGTAATTAATAGGCTTAATTAGTCCCCCTTTTTTATAAATTTAAGCATGACCTGATCATAGGAAACTTATTTATGGTACACTCACAGATAAGTGTTGGGACAATTGCCCTTCAAAACGTCCTCGGTTCAGTGAAATTCTGTCAATATTAGTACGTTCCAGCAGTAATAGCTTTAGTAATACTAGGTAATAGAAATTTAAATGTTGTTTAATCTAGTAGATTTTGTAATCAGTCATATAGATCCTCTATAGCAAAACTAACTACAACTTCATATAGAAAGGAAAAACAAAGAAAAGGCTCCCAGCTTATAATTTATGTTTTGTGCTAGAGACATTCGAGAGACATGACTGGTTGAGTCACATATTGTCTCTCCTAGTCCTATTATGGTTGTCATTATTAATGACTACTCCTTTTCATGTTGTCTATATTGTGAGTTGATAAACTAGCATAAAGCAGAAAAAGACAGAGATGAGGAGTTGAGAAGAGGATGACATAGGAAAAGTGAGAAATTAAGCTTTCTAGTGAACATTACCAATCTCTGTCGATGCGCAGCAAAACTCATAGATCCCCTGGTGCGCAACGAGCCACCCTTCTGACAGTCTCGGGCTGCCTTTGCTCGTTCGCTCTTCTCCCTAAATTCAAGACTATCCCGTATTACTAAAATTTTTATTCACACATCTTTTCTTATCCAATCGGGCTTCTTATTCTTTTCTCGAGCTTCATACAATGAATTTGGAATTAATTTTTTTGCTTTCTTCTCATAGACATGTTTTATTTCATTGTCATATCATTGCTACCACACTCACTTAGTCTGGAAAATAATTAAATAAAGTAGAGTAAAATTGGATATTTGATATATAATTTAAAAATAAGGTTTATACATACCCTAAACTGATTTCGCATTTTATCTATGATATCATATGGAATGTCTTTTCATCTATCCCAAACATCATCATAAAGTGCCTTCATAGACTATGTAACCATATGTGTAGCAACAAATGAAGGGAAAAACCTGCATTAAAATTAACATATGTAAAATGTGTATTCAACAGAATAAAAATAAACATAAGGATTACTTACCCATCTTTCTCATCCGGAACGATAATCGGCCTACTATATGCATCATATTGTGGAGTCACTTTACCACTTCGACCCCGAGAAGCTGCTTGTGTAGCACTACCAATGGATGGTGATGTTGGTGTGCCAGAGACTCCAATATTTAACCTAGATACGCTAGGTGTGCTTGATGCCGGAGATGCAGTTGGAGTAAATGAAGTAGGCAGTGCTGAGGAGCTACCTTGTTGACTAATATGAAAACCGAGAGAAGAAGTTACATTTGGTGTGGGAATAAAATTAAGGTTAGATCCAGAGTTCGTGCCAACTGAAGATACAGAAATGTGGACAGGCCCAGGTGGGGGCATAAAAAATGTAGGTGGCAACGAAGTTGACCGAGGAGGAAAGGTAGGAGGAGGCCCCATATGTGGAGGAGAGTGACTTGCAGTTGGAGATTGTAATTAAGTCCCCTTACCCTTACGGCGTCAACGATCGCTACCCCCAGATGCCATCTACGTAATATAACCATAGTAAAAAAACATAAAGCAAATCTTCAACATATTAGATGTATAAGAAATAATACAAAAACATAAAGAATTAGATGATTAGAAAAAAATATAAAAACATAAAGAGATAAAATCTTCAACATATTAGAAGATTAAGAAAAAATAAAAATCATAAAGAATAATAAAAACATAAAGTAATTCCTCAACAAATTAGACGATTAAGGAAAAACATAAAAATTAAAGAAATAATAAACACATAAAGTAATTTTCAATAAATTAAATGATTAAGGAATAACATAAAACCTAACGAAATAATAAATACATAAAGTAATTCTTCAACATATTAGATAACTAAGGAAATATATAAAATTTAAAGACATAATAAAAACCCAACAAGTCAATCATCTTCACTTGATTCATATTCATTATTAGATTCTTCTTCATCACTTGTTCTATTGTGATCAAGAAATTCTTTTCCATCGCGTGTTTCATCCCCATCAGGTAATTCTTCCTCATCGCTTATTTCATATTCATTGGCTGGGTCTTCCTCCTCATTTGCCCTGGATGTTCCTTCCCCATCATCATTTAAATTTGATCTAAGGCCAGAAATATCAAATTCTTCATAGATGACTTCGCTATGGTGTAATTCACCTGCTAATTCATCATCTACCAATGCTTCGACACTTGAAATGTCATTTTGGTACGCTACATCCAAAACATCCTTGACTTCCACTCTACTCATGGGTTTTGTTTTAATAACCACCCTCCATGAGGACTTATTTTTACACAAAGGATAAGGAGTATAATACACTTATTTTACATTTTGTGCAATGATAAATGGATCATAGAATGGATAATCCCTCGTATGCTTAATTTCAACTATTTTGTACTGGGAGTGCACCTTCGTACCTATATTTGGTGCTGGATCATACCACTTGCACCAAAAGAGTACCAACTTTTTTTTTGGCCAACCAACACTGTACTCGAGTTCTAAAATCTCTTGAATCACACCATAATAATCAATATCTCCCTCACTTTTCACCCACACCCCATTATTATTGGTTTTCTTGCCCTTAGACCATTCTTCTGCATGGAACTTGTACCCATTAACACAATACCTAGACATCTTTCTGACTTTAGGATCAGGTCCCCAAGCTATATCATACAGAAATTGATCACTTATGCCATTAGCTGGATTATGAACCTATAGATAATTAGAGAAAATTTAGAATTTTAAAATACATGTAATTAATTTGCAACTAACAAAAACCATGTCAAATATTAAGTAACACTTACAAATTCTCTAAACCACTTTGAAAACCTAGGATAAACAGCATTCTGCCCATATGTACCCACAAAATAACTGCCCGACACAATTATAATATTCATTAGTTAAAACAAGGATAAATCTTGTATGGAACTTGGTAATATAGATATATATTTACCTATAATAAGGTTGGACCTCGGGGCAATTCAATAGTACATGTGTTGTAGCTTATTGTAGTTCCTTCTCATTTAAGATTCGCTTTGAACTACTTTTTGGACCACCTTTTCCTGGTTGATTGAATATGGAAAATGGTAGTGCTGAAGGATCATTACTTCCTCCATCGTCATGTCGATTGGGTCTATTTCCCAAACATGGCAAATCATGTTCAAAATAATATGAACAAAAATAAAAAGTTTTTTTAGCCAGTTATGCCACACATATCAATCCCTCAATTCTCGATCTATTTTTCACGATCCGCTTACATTTGCCAATAATCCTGCATATTACGATTTCTTAGACGGAACAATATTTAATTAAAATAAATAAAGGGCAAATGATTAAAAATCATTTATTACCTCTCAAAGGGATACATCCATCTATACTGAACTGGCCCTCCAAGTCGTGCCTCTTGCGCAAGGTGAATTGGAAAATGCTCGATTACATCAAAGAAATCAAGAGGAAATTTTGTTTCCAACTTATTTAAAGTTAAGCGAATATTACTCTCCATGTAAGTTAGATTCTCCAACATCAATGTTCTAGAACACAACTCCTTAAAAAATAAGCTCATCTTTGTGATAGTCTTCCATATTCTATCAGGCAAGGCATTGAACGCATTAGGCATCAATGATTCCATGAAAATGTGACAATCATGACTTTTCATTGACATCAACTTTTCTTCTTTCATGTCAACACACCTAGATAAGTTTGACGCGTATCCATCTAGCATACTCAAATTCTTAACCCACTGACAAATCTCCCTTTTCTCATCCAAAATGAATGTGTAACGCCTTGGGCTTCTGAATCTTGTTGTTCAAGGTTGTAAGGTACAACTCATTTCGCCTACAATATTCCTTCAAGTACATCCTGACTTTCAAGTTATCTTTTGTCTTGTTATTGACATCCATCACATTATTAAACAAGTTATTAAAAAAGGTTTTCTCAATATGCATGACGTCAAGATTATGACTTAGAAGATTATGCTTCCAATAAGGAAAATCCCAAAATATGCTCTGTTTAGTCCAGTTATGGGTAACACCATAACCATGTATCTTATTAGGCAATGGAGACTCTGCTACCTTAGGTAGATCCCTAACTCTGTTCCAAATTTCTTCTGGCGACAAGACTAAAGGTGGCTCTTCATAATCAGTTTGATTCTTCATAAATGCACTAGTGTTTCTCCTAAATTCATGATCCATTGGCAAGAAATGACGGTGACAGTCAAACCATGTGTTCTTACCTCCATGTTTCAAAGTGAACGCTTTTGTGTCTTCCATGCAAGTCGGACAGGCTAACTTTCCAGCAGTCGACCACCCGGATAGCATTCCATAAGCAGGAAAATTATTTATTGTCCACATTAAAGCAGCACGCAATCTGAAGTTCTGTTGAGTTGATATATCATAGGTTTCCACACCTTGATGCCACAATAACTTTAACTCATCAATCAACGGCTGCATGTATACGTAAATCAAACTTTTTGGATTGCGTGGACCTGGAATAATGCAAGTTAGGAACAACTATTGACTTGTCATACAAAACTCTGGAGGAAGATTATAAGGCGTAACAAACACTGGCCAACATGAATATGGTGCGGTAGAGACTACAAATGGAGTGAATCCATCAGCACATAATCCCAACCTAATATTTCTTGGTTCACTTGCAAAGTCCGGGAATACCCTATCAAAATGCTTCCATGCTTCTCCATCTGACGGGTGACATAGAACACTAGTTGGCCTTCTATGTTCATAGTGCCATCTCATATGAGGAGCAGAGCTCATTTATGCATACAACCTCTTTAACCTTGGTATAAGGGGTAAGTAATGCATCGCCTTCACTGGAACCTTCTTCTTATTAGCATTTGTAACTTCCTTATAACGAGGTGTGATGACCTTTCGGGTCATCACTTGTTTAAAAAAGAAATTACACGTTCCGAGGCCTTAAAAACCTCTCTTAGCATCACCTCAATTTGCGTGGACAATCCGAGTGCGTAGCCGGAAAGCCTAAATGTGAAAATCTATGAAAAATGATAAATTTTGACTATAAAATGAATTAATTTGACTTTGGTCAACGTTTTGGGTAAACAGACACGGACCCGTGATTTGACAGTCTCGAAGGGTCCATAGGAAACTATGGGACTTGGGCATATGTCCGAAATCAAATTCGGAGGTCCCAAGCCCGATAAATGAATTTTCAAAGAAAATTATTTTCTGAAATAGTTTAAAGGTTTTAGAAATGAATTTTGAGTAGAACGTGTTGGTATCGGGCCGTATCTTGGTTTAAGCACTCGGTACAGGTCTTATATATGATTTAAGATAATTCTGTGAAGTTTGGTAAGAAACGGAGTCCGTTTGACGTGATTCGAACCTTAATTGGAATGTTTGGTATTTAAAGAAGTTTTAAGAAATTTCATTGAAATTGAGGTTTAATTTGAGGTTTCTGATGTTATTTTGGTGATATGAGTTCACGAATAAGTCCGTGAGATGTTTTTGAGGTTGCGTGTATATTTGGCTTGGAGCCCCGAGGGCTCGGGTGAATTTTGGATAGGCGTCGGGGTGCATTTTGAACTTACAAAATTGTAGAATTTTAGCCTGGCTCGCAAATGCGAAAAAAGTCCAGGCCTGCCTTGCTTGCAAATGTGAGTATTCTTCCGCAAATGCGAAAATCCCTGTTCAGCCTTGGGTCGCAAATGCGACCCATTCTTCGCAATTCCCAAGTTGCAAATGCGACATGCTATTTGCAAATGCGACATGCTATTCGCAAATGCGAAGGTCCTATTTTCCTGAAGGGTTCGCAAATGCAAGCCCTGTTTTTAAACCCATTTTTCATACCCTCTCAAAACATTTTTCATATCCTCTCAAAACATAAACACCCTAGGATAATTTTTCAAAGCCTTCTTCTTCTCCAAATCAACTGTAAGTCATTTTAACTAGTTTTCTTCGATCATTAACATCTTTTAACATGATTTCAACTTAAAATCAATGATTTGTATGGGGAAAATTGGGTGTTTTGGGTAGAACCTAGGTTTTTCAAAAATTGGGGATTTGGACCTCGATTTGAGGTCCGATTTCAAAACAAATCATATATTTGGGTTCGTGGGGGAATGAGTAATCGTATTTTGGTTCGAACCTGGGGTTTTGACCATGTGGGCCTAGGGGCGATTTTTGACTTTTTGGGTAAAACTTTAGGAAACTCATTTTCACGCATTGGGGTTGATTCATTTAGCATTTATTGATGTAATTAAGTAACTTGTGACTAGACACGAGCGAATTGGTGGTGGAATCAAGGGGTAAATCTATAGTTCAATCATGAATTGTGCTCGTGGCATCGATGTAAGTGTTTGGTCTAACCTTAGCTTGAGAGATTAGGAGTTGTGTCTTATTTGCTACATATTAATTGTGGAGTACGACGTATAGGCATGGTGACGAGTATCTATACG